GCTGATTGGGTCAAATTAGAATTTATTGAATTTTAAATCTGATGTGGTTGAACTGATTATGTATTTCTGTATATTAAATGGATTTGATTGAGATTACATTTGCTATGAATTAGTGCTAGAACAATAAACTTAACTGAATTAAGATTGATGTCAAATTATTTTTGTTTTGATTATCTTTTCTGTGTCGGTGCAGGAATGTTATTAAATAAATGTTCTTATGTACAATATGTTTAATTTGTTTGATTGGCATGTTCAGTGTCATTTTCAGACATAGTGTTTTTGTTTGCATTAAAATGTCATTTATTCTTTTCCTTTGTTTCATTTTGTCACATTCATAAGGATTTAGGGTTTACAAACATCTAGTTCTGGGTTTTATTTTGAGTTTTTCTCAGACTTCATTCAAAAGTATATTTAGGTTTTCATCCTCATGATTTTTCATCAAATGTAACAGAAAAATTCAGTTCAACTCAATTCAAAGTTTTTACATGACTTGCTTTTTGTCAGATCTTTAGTTCTGTGTTGACTTGATGTGTTGTGATAATTATATTAAATGTTTTTGTTTCCAACTAAATGTCATAGCAGCTGATTCTCTTTTCTTCTGTTAACAAATAAAAAGCTGCTCATTTTTAGTTAAAATAAATTATATTCTACAAATAAAGAAATAGGACATCTTGTTTATGACATGCTTAATAAAATAGATTGTTGTGGATCTACAGACCTCTTTGTTAAAATGTTATCAGAATTTAATAAAAATAACTTCTTGATAATATTTGTTGTCTATTTAAAAATGATCTTGTATTTAAATCAGCTGCCAAATAACAGTTTCATCAGTCTGATATTATCTTGCTACTTTAGTTAAAACAATGTGTCTGTTGTACATTAAAGACCAATTATAAGCTGCACACTAACAGCCCAACCTGATCTCTGGCTGTGTTGGATCAACAACAACTCTTGAATCATGAGTCCATGAATCCTTAAGGAAGAGTTTCATCCCCTCCTCAAGACAATTAAGGATAAATTCTGGCACTGGGTGCAACACAAAATCAGTAAACAGTTGATGTCAGCAGAAAAAGATGTATTTTATTTTACAGTTCAGGTACAATCTCAATCACAGAAGACAGAAAACATGAGAAGCTTTAAGCTTCAGGGTCTCCAAGGCCAAAACAATCAACTAAACATCACCTTTTAACTATAAAATTAAAACACTTTCTATAGGAGAACTGAAAAGGTAAAACACCTGAACTCTCTGGCTGATCACAAAACAGGAGAAAACAGAAAAAATTGGCAGCTTCTACTGTGAATAGAAACACATTACTTTAGTTATGAGCCTTAATTCTTCCCCATAAAGCTGCAGCAATATCAGCAGACAAACCAGATCACTTCAGATCAAGGACCAGGGAAAAAGGAACCTGACAGCTGGAATGAAGCTCTTCACTGATTGGCTGATGAGCTTCAGTGCATTTCACCTGTGACAGCCAGGTAGAACTGAAACAGAGAGTGAGTGAGAGTGCTCTCATAAAGATAGAGAGACCCTAAAGGTCAGAGACCATGATCCTGAAGCTTCAATTCAACAGACCAGCAGTAGAGGAAATTAATTTGAATGTAAACTATTTAATCAGGCGGCAGAGGAAGGAAAGAAATGACTCAGAGGAAAATATGGACCTTAACACTTAGATACAGTAACTTCTGAAGTGATAGAAATATCATTACCTTTGATAAGCTCTTCTATATATTTCAATGTTTATCAGTTTGGTTAATCTCAAGTCTTTGATATTTCTTTCTCTTGTATTTCTATAAAGTATTTTACTACAGTAAACCATCCATCCATTTTCTAACAGCCTGGTACCCGGTGGTGTCAGGATGGATGCTGGTGCTGATCTCCTGCTGAAATTATGGTTTTTATAGTTCTGCTTGTGTTAATAAAGAACACAGATCAATTAACCAATCACATGTACTCATGAAGTTATTACGCAATAGCCAGCCCCGCCCTAATCCTCACAACTCTTCTGGGCTGACTACTGACCAGCTCTCCGTCTAACGGGTCCGGAAAGGTCCTGAAACCTGGGTATTACCCTGCAGAGGGTCTGAGAGGAACAATCTGTCCAAGCTGGTGTCGAGAGAGACTCGTCTCGCTCTAACTACCTACTATCCAGAAGTTATGACTCTTTTCAGTAAAGAAGCAATCAGTTGAGTGGCCATCACAACCCCATAACTGCAATAACCACTTCTGTTAACGGTCGCCCTCTCTCTAACAATAACCAGCACTTGTTAATGACTAGCATAGTTTTAGTGACTTTGTAAGTCCCAGGGTCATTATTTAATTTGTCAACTAAAGGAAAGTCCGAAGCCACCACTTTTCCAGAACCATGTACATAGATTTTACATTAAATAGAAGAACCAATACTAATAAGATGACTCAATTAATTTCAATGTCCACAAACCTCATTAGAATTTTAATGTATAAATATTTATTTGAGCAAGCTTTAAGCAGGAGTAAATGGCAAACAAATTAGTTTTTAATGATTACAAGTTTTTTAGAGAGTAAAATTTAAATTTGTATAAGATCAACTTAAATCTCCACTAACACCTCTCCCTAATAGTGCCATCAATTTACTAAAGAAGGCGTTTGGGGTGTAGGCAACTCATATCCAGATGACAGGGGATCTCGACAACACAAAAGTAAACTTTCTTGGGCAGATTCTGGTGATGATATGACGAATTCTCCTCCGAACAGGAGCAAAGTAGAGTTGGTAGTTATCTTTCAAACGTCCCAAATCTTCATCACTTTTGTGATCTTTGTCCAATCCCCAAGTCTGTTGCATTAATTCTTGAGATCTTTCGGGTTGAGTGTGGAGCCTCGGTCAAATTAGGAGCCAGAGTTGTTGTATCGGGTCCCGTCTTTCTTCCAGCGAAGTGTAAGCTTGTCCTCCCTCTGGGTCCGGGGCAAGGCTCCCTCGTTGGTTCCTTGGCCCGCTGTTACTCGTTCCACTTGCTGAAGACGAAGAACCGAAGCTCTCTGTTTCTGTGCTCGCTTACACCAGGCCCCCTGATCACTTCATCCTCTACTTGCATCAAGCCTCTGGGCTCACTGCCCAGATGTCCTCTCCCCGCGATGAGTCAGGCCTGTCCACACCCATAACCAGAACATATTCAGGCTTGACTTTGCACCCAAAGACTGTCCTTATGCATTTTATTATTCTGATTTCAGTCTTTTACATGTTATACAGACTTATAACTCATCGACATAAACACTTTTAATACATTTCTTCAATCATAACTTTTTAATACTCGTTACTTTTGATTCAGTATGATTATACTTTCAATTGTGATTCCTTGTTTAACTGATTTATATAATTATCAACAATCAACTTCAGAATTTACTTACTTCATAATCACCAATACTTCAATACAGTAAATTTTTCCATAATAAACATTATTCAGCATGCAATATTACTTTAGTCTCTCAGGCCAGTTATGATCTGTTTTCTGCATGAACCTGGACAGATCTCACCTCCTCATACCAGTTTTCATGACAAATGACACTGAGACAGACAGAAATACAGACTGAAAGTAAAAGTCTATTTGACAGTCATCCAGAATACCAAAGACTGAGGATGTCTCTACTATAACGACACGGTACCAACAAATATATTTTTTATTATTTTTATTTAAAGGGTATTATTTGAAAATCTCACATAGACTTTTATAAGAAGAATCTGGTCACTAACAATGTTAAGAAATAATTTGTCAACATATTACTGTAAATCTATATTACAGTCCAAAATAGATTTACTGAAGCCACCACCTTTCTAGAACCATGTACATAGATTTTACATTAAATAGAAGAACCAATACTAATGAGATGACTCAATTAATATCAATGTCCACAAACCTCATTAGAATTTTAATGTATATTATATTTATTTGAGCAAGCTTTAAGCAGGAGTAAATGGCAAACAGATTCATTTTCAATGATTACAAGTTTTTAGAGAGAAAATTTTCAATTTGTTGGATTGTTGTTGACCGATAGGGGGCGACTTTGGACAATGACTTAGGAAACTGCAAAGACAAATTTCTTTCTGCATGCAAATATTTTTCTTCTTTTCCTTTTTATCCCTGGTGTTCAGTCATGACGTCATAGCCTTTTGCTGCAGTACTTTTAAAAATACAACAGAGCTGGAATGACCATGTCTTGGAAACCACGTGATTTACAAGAAACTGGAAAATGTGTTTATGAAAGTGAAAGTGTTTTTCAGCAGGTTGTAAACGGACAGTCCTGCAGATTCGTTGGAAGGAGGAGGACGTTTGATTTTTATTAACAGTCGGTGCTCAAGCAGATCTTCTGCTACGGTAAGATATTCATCCTGTTTTGTTGATTGATTTAAAAAATGAAATATAAGAGTAAAAATAAACATTAATATTCACTTGTACTAACCTCTGATATTATCAGTGCTAAAGGACAGAAAACTAATTTGCGCGGGAGACGCTCAACAGATTTACTGGACTTCATTTTGAATGAACTGCAGATAAAACATAAAATACCAAACTAATGTTAATCAATGTGGTCCAGATGGTCACTGAGCTTATTTTGCAGTGAAAGGTTTCTGGGAAAAAAAACACTAAATACTTTTTCCTGTTTCAAAAAAACAAAATTAGATGTATGTGAATTTCCTTTTTCTGATTTAAATGAAAGTGAAAGTGCATGTATTTGACCTCCTGTTGACAATCATTCAACCATTCTGAGTTCCACACTCACATTAAAAAAACTAAATTGGGCCCCCATTGGGTCAGACCATCTATTTTAACATTCTTTTACTCCAGCCTGAGAATATTTATCATGCTAATAACAGACAGACAACTGTTTTTTTTTTAACTTGCATCTTTGAGTCTGTGAGGAAAAAGAGCTTTTAGGTTTTGTGGGATTATATTGGATAATAAATGTGTTGGAGAAAGTTAAAGATGCAAATAATAATTGAATAATTTTTCTCATTCTCCTTTCAGTGAAAAATGCCTGAATAATAACCAAGCAGGAAATATTAAAGAGTCATTTTCTACAATGGAGGTAGACAACTACTTTGTAGAAAAACGTGATGAAAAATGTTGTAACTACTATAAGACTGAAAAATATGTAATCTTATATTTTTATCTTAAGGAAACTAGTGCTGTAGATTCATTTGTGGATTTTTACTGTGAAGAAGAAATGACCCAGGATCAACAACATGTGCTGACTGTAAAGCTGAATATCATGAAACGGGTCCAGATGTTAAAGGTCAGTGCATTGAATTTGACAAAGAACAATGAGCAGTCTGTGTCTTCAGGTATTATTATGATTGTTGTTATTGTCTTCACAGCTGTTTGCTGTCATATGAAGACAACACAGTATAAAATCAGCCATAAAATAATTTCTCAGCCTCTGGCGACTCCTGTTGGTGAAATGAAGAACCAGATTGTGATCAAGTGCAGGGAGGAAGAACGTTACAAGAGACAACAGACACAAATGACTCAGCAGAAATCAGTGACCTCCCTGGAAAACCAAACCCTGAGAAAGAAAGGAAAACACAAAGTAAGCATTTTGTGTTGACTTTGATACAAAGCAAAAAAATACATAATTTATAAATTTATTTTGAACTAAATATGTTTGCCTGGTATTAGAAAGGGATTGTAGGTCATCCTGCACACAACTTTATTAAAATGCTAACCCTAGAAATTGGAAGTGGTCTTCCAAATTTTAAATTAATTTATCTAAACTAAAGGCAGTGCATTAAAAATCAACAACACAGAACAAAGCGAATTAAATTAGCTTTATTCCAAACCACTGATAATGCATTCATGCTTCACAAACAGGAGTTAAATATGTATTTCCTCCATCTGTGATGCATTTAATAACTAAGATCATATCACAACAATGAAAGTTTTTTGATTTGGTTAAATTTGAGGAAGAGAGCTTGCAGGTATAGAAAAAGTTTGATATGTTCATCTGCTTGATTAATCTGTTCAACTTGTCAAATATTAATTAAACCGCATAAAACTTTAATTTGAAATGAATAGGCCATGTCCATGTTTTTAAAAATTCACAGATAGAAATGGAATATGACAGAATTTTTTTTGACGCTGTCAGTCAAAATGACAGACAACAAAATAAGTCTAGCACAACGTCTGCTGCCAGTATTCCTTCAAGATCATTTTTTAAAATTATTTAACTTCTGTTTAATCAGGTGAGATATTAAGAAAAATTTTTATTTACAACCCAACATTATTTGGAAGAAAAACAATCACGTTGATTTTATTGGATTATGTCACTGGATTTTAGCATTGTGCATTCGAGGCGGTGAACAATATTACCAATGGTACTGGAGACGGTTCAGTGAGACGGTTTTACCCGACCATCGGGCCGAGTGACGAAAACCTGTTCCGTATGATGTAAAGCCATACCACTCCAATCTGATGGGAGAATCCATCTGAGCACCGTTTGACTGATTTTAGATCTAAAGTTTCAAATATCATTGACTCTACTGAACCCATTAACATGAAGGTTGTGTCTAGTAGGAATAAATATCCATGGAGAAAAGCACAAACAGTTCAATCTGCAAGACAACTCTGCCGCAGAGCAGAACGAAAATGGCTTAAAACTCAACTTCACGTACATTATGACATCTATATAGAAAGACTACGTAACTATCCCTCAACAATAAAACATGCAAGGGAGGCTTTCTTTGCAGAGGTCATAAACAAAAACATTAATAATGCTCGAACTTTATTTGCAACAGTTGACAGGCTCACAAACCCTCCTGTGACGTTTCCACCTGAACTCCAATCTAATGCTGCCTGTAATACGTTTTCTGATTTCTTTTCAGAGAAAATTCAAAAAATCAGAGGATTAATCTGCACATCAACTTCAAAGCCAGAACCATTGCTGTACCAAAACAAAACAAATACAGGAAAAATGACCCATTTTCAACTACTTAATTATAAAACCCTAGAAGAAATTATAAGTCAATTAAGTTCAAGCTCCTGCTGTCTGGATGTCCTTCCCACACATTTCTTTAAGAAAGTCCTGCCTGTTATTGCTACTGATCTGATCCAAATAGTAAACTCATCGCTTACATCAGGTGTTTTCCCCCAGGCCTTGAAAACAGCAGTCATCAAACCATTGATAAAAAAGAACCTGGACAAATCACTATTGCAGAATTACAGGCTGACCTCTGACCTCCCATTCATCTGCAAAGTTACTGAAAAAACTGTAAACAGTTACATAGCTTCCTAACAATAACCAACTGCTTTGACACTTTCCAGTCTGGTTTTCGTGCTCACCACAGCACGGAGACTGGCCTAGTCAAAGTATTCAATGACATCCATATAAATACGGACTGTGGGAGAACCACGGTGCTGGTTCTGTTGGACCTCAGTGCAGCTTTTGACACTGTCGACCATGACATATTACTGAATCGACTGGAGAGTTGGGTTGGACTCTCTGGTTCGGTGCTCGACTGGTTTGAATCTTACATAAAGAACAGGGATTTCTTTGTTTCAATTGGAAACTTCTCATCAAAGAGGTCAAAGGTCACATGTGGGGTACCCCAAGGTTCAATCCTAGGACCCCTCTTATTTAATATTTATGTGTTCCCATTAGCTCAGGTTATAATAGGAAATAAATTAGCTACCATAACTATGCAGATGATACTCAGCTCTACATAATGATGAAGGCATGTTTATGTTCGCAATGACACAGCACCAACATACGCAGAAGGCAAATATTTACTGCAAAAAAACTGGATAGGTTGTCATATCAACGCATAATAAATTCTTGGCTAAAAGAGTGATTTTATTGTTATTTGTAGCTTATTGGTTGATATGTATGTAAAATCCATAGATAGAAGGAACGGACGCCTCAATCAGACAAAGTCTTTCAAAGAATCTTTCTTCATAGAACTGGAGATTGCTGAAGTCCTTCTCGTCCTTCATGCAAAACAAACATTTGCATGAAGTTTTGTTTTTTACCAGGAAGTTCACAGAGACTCTGATGCTACAGGATGTGTAATGACTTGTGTGTGTTAATACACCAAACAATTGAATATTTTCATTGATCTTCTCACAGCTTCAGCATCATTGAACTTTGTCTTGAAAATCAATGCGAGAAATTAAATTTGCAAAATTGACGTCCCATGTTAAACCAACAAATTCTGGGATGTAATAGTTCAAAGGATGTAATAGTGAATAGAGAAAAAGTTGACGAATAGAAAGATAAGAACCAAACAGAATGTAAACAGACTAAATTTATCTGCAATATTAGAGACGCCAAGTACACAACAAAATTTAATTAAGTGCTAAAAAAATATTTTGCAGGATATGTCTCTTTTAAGTTATTAGATAAAACATGATTAGTTTCAATTGTAGAACAATGTTTCTTGCCTACTGTGCAAAAATATGATCTAAAGTGCTGAAGTTAAAAATAGTATTTAATTAGAATTCACACCCATACACATTAAAAAACTTAATGTATCTTTATCATTCACAGAGACCAACCTTGAGAGGCTTTTGGAAGATTTGGGCTTGGAGCAGTACCACAGAGAGAAGTTATCATTAAGCAAAATACTTGAGATTGATGAGAAGACGATCAATGATGACCCGAGCAACTGTAAATCAAATGTCCCTTTGTAGTTTCTTAAGAAATTAGTGATGGTTAATGTGACTGCTAGGAACATAAAAGGTGATCTGAGTGATGCCTCTTCTGATTCAAACTGTGATGATCTATCAGAGAGTACAGAGAGCAATTTTGAGGATCTGTTTGAGAGCCCAAATGAGGCTGAAACATTTAACCCTCTGGATTTAATCACTGCTCTCTTCCTGTGTTCTGATGGGTTTGTTCAGCAAGAACTGGCTCTAAAAATGTCCATGTGTCAGTTCTCTGTTCCTGCTGCTTCCTAACTGTGATACACAGCAGTGCCCCTCATGCTGTGGGCCATGAGAGACATTGTTAAGAAGTACAGACCTTCGAATCTTGCAGAATCAAAAGGCTTCATGGAAGAAAGAATAGTTCTTTCTGAACTTCCAATGATCTCATTTGTGAGACTGGGTGAGTGCTCTCTGTCCAAATCAGAGATTCTCAATAAGCTTCTGAGTAACTCTGAGCAATACCATGACACCTTTGTTCACCACAACATGGAGTGTGGAGACATTCAGAGAAGAATATCCAATGGACTGACTGAACTGAAACTGGTACCTTCCCTGTGGAAACAAAAACATGGACATCTTCAGTGAACCAGTTGCTATAGCTAACCTTCGTGGAGACATTGCTTCATTTGAAACTCAATTCTCCTTTTTGTGTCAGACATCTGCTGCAGTTTTTGTTTTCTTTGACCAGCTGGACTCTGACTGCAAACTGCTGATGAACAAAAACCACAAAGCTCAAATCTTCTTAGTGGGAAACCAACAAAGCAAGAGTCTGACTCCAGATGTTTTGAAGAAAGTAGCAACTAGTCTGAACTTGACAAAAAACAATATAATTATAAAAACTAACAAAACAAATGATGCAAATTTTGTCAAATCTTTGAAGAAAACAGTGATTACTGCACTTGCCAACCCACAGTTAAAGATGTCAGTAGAGCAGATGGCTGATGTTGCTCATGACTTATTACTGTTGATGAAGATTTTCCAGAGTGTAAGGAGGGAAAGAAAAATGCAGATGCCATCACTGCAGAGATTAAAGATACTTTTCAATTCAAAGAAAATCAGTTTCCTTTACAAGGTCAAATATGGAAGGAACTGACTTTCTTGGAAAAGGAAGAATTTCGTCTTCGGAAAGTTGGTTCTGAAGACATAGAAACTACAAGAGCAACCTTAAAGAGAAAAAAGAAGAGCAACGTAAAAAACAAAATTCTTATGAAATGTCCAAAGCAATGACCTGCTTCATTAGTGCAATATCCAGCCCACAGAGAGAAAGGTGTTACTTTCTGAAATGGATGAGAATGAATCTCGACAACTTGTCTCGAATCAAACTTTCTGGCCTCAGGGAGCTTTACAAGGAAAAATGCAAAGACTCTGAACTAGAATTTCTAATTTTGGTTCATTTACTGCAATATCTGAAATATTTAATATGAATGAATTCATCACACTGAGTTGAAAACTGAAGCAATCAGAGAGCTCAACAAGTGGGAGACAAAGATCCTTGAAAAACCTGAAGAAATACTTTGATCAGCCAGAAGGTCATGTTAATCTGGCTGAAGGATACAGAGAGGATTTCTCCAACAGCATCAAGAGTCTTCGACGAGAAACTGAAAGATCAATGTTCAACCAGATCACAGCAGCTGCTGATATTAAGAAGGGATTGAAAGAACTTGACAAAATCAAGGCCACTTATAGAGAAAGAATTGAGAAAGCAGTTTGTGATTTAATTGATGAATGTCGTAAGAAAAAAGTTCAAATGACTGACAGAGCTTGATGAAAGTTTTAATAAGATGTGGAATGAAATAATGAACAGTTTGTCTTGTTTGAACAACAGACTATAAATATCTTCACCAGTGTTTCCCATCAATTAAGAACAAATCTTTCTCCTAAAGGAAGCCATGCATGTGAACTGCTGAGTAGAAAAGTCTGAAAGAATGTGGACTGGAGCCTTTTACATACAAACCTAAAGGAATGAAGGAAAAACACAAAATTCTTTTTAAAGGATTTTGTACCTGGACAGATCTAATAAAAATTGCTGACAGAATCATCTCTGTTTGCAATGAGTGTATTACTGATAAAATCAAGAGAAAAACTAATTATCATGATACTTACATCCAGGAGATTCTTCACATCATTGATGAGAAGCTGAACAAAGCTGATGTTGACACAGACATTGAGTTTGAAGTACCTCTGAAACAACACATTTGTGGATCTGCAGCCAGAAAGTTTCAGAAAATGCATGAAGATTTTATCCAAGAAAATGATCCTTATAAATGTCTGCAGAAAACAAAGAAATGTTCTGCACAGATTTCAAAGATGTGTTTCAAGAAAGAGATCAATGCCAGAAAAAAGCAGAAGAATTCACTAATCAGTGTCTGAAACCTGCTGTTGAAAACTTCATCTGTCGTTCTCTTGGTCCTGATATGATAAAATGATGACAAAAGAGGAGTTCAGCACACGAATGTCCTTCCAGTATTATATTTTACTGGATCTGATTTCAAATGGGGAATTTGTAAGCTTTCAGAGCTACATTTGCTCATATGAAAAATATGTAAAATCATGGACATCCAATAGACAATTTGAGAGTTAGAGGACAAACATCTTAAGTTTTGCATCAACCACATAAATGATGCCATAAAAAAGGCAAACACAGAAAACACTGACAGTCTGAAGACATTTGTTGAAGATATCTGCAAAGAACTTGGTGATAAACTGGTCATTTCCCAGGATGCTCTTGGTGCCTTCATGGTTCTGAACAAATCTGACCAGGAACAGTTTGCTCACTGGCTCAACAAGTGTGTGGAGGAAATGAAAGAAACTCTTAGAGGAGAGTTTGAAAAGATAACGTTTGAAACACAACTCTCACGTCTCCACATGAAACCAGAGAATGAGCTTTTTAACAGAGTGATTGGTTGTGGCAAACAGTGTCCATTCTGCCAAATACCCTGTGATGCAGGTGGAGAAAAACACACTGAACACTTTGCTTCTTTGCATCGACCAAATGGATTAGGTCAGTGCAGGGATAAAGAGTCTAGAAAACTCTCGACTGACATCTGCTCTTCTCTTGTTATCAGTGACAAATGTTTTCGCTGCAGTGCCACAAAGAATGAATGGCATCCTTACAAAAAATATAGGCAAATTTACCCAGACTGGAATATTCCTCCAGATGTGAGCCTGGAGGTGTCAGATTATTGGAAATATGTGATGAACAAATACAACCAGGAATTTGCTAAAGCATATGATGCAAAGCCTGCTGACATTCCTGATGCTTGGAAGAAAATCACAGAAGATCAGGCAGTAAAAAGCCTCAACAAATCATTCAACATCAAATGAAACCATAATCATGTTAGTTGTAAGAACACAATTGGTTCTTGCATGTATAGATTTTTTTGTCCTTTTTTGAAAGGCCAAATTTACACGTTGGACTCACCTCTTTAACAAAAGCCAATATAAACAACTTCACCTTAATTTATTGCAGCTCCTTATTTTCTTCATTTATCATTTATAATTTTAGCATTTTGTTTTATTAATAGAATAAAATACATATCTTTCTACAGATATCTGCATCTGTAGAAAGATATGTTGTTTTCAGACAACATATCTTGTCTGAAAATATTTACTCTCTTGTTGAAATATTGTTTGTTTCCACATTAGATGGATAATTGGAGAGTTTCAGTACAAATTTATTGTTCATTGTGAACGACTCAATGCAATCAATTCTCCATTATCATGACATCATTCAGTGGGTCATTGCTGCAAAGTCAATCACTGGATGCATTTACTGAGTTTCCTTAGATAGAAAAAGTTTCATCAAATTAAATATCAATCTGAACGCAGCTGATTGCTCAAATTAGAATTTATTTAATTTTAAATCTGATGTGGTGAACTGATTATGTATTTCTGTATATTAAATTGATTTGGTTTATATTCCAAATTATATTGACATTACATTTGCTTTGAGTTAATGCTAAAACAATAAACTTAATTGAATTAAGGTTGGTGTCAAATTATTTTTATTTTATTATTTTTTCTGTGTCGGTGCAGGGTGTTATTAAATAAATGTTCTTATATATATTTTGTTTGATTGCATATTCAATGTAATTTTTAGATATAGTGTTTTGTTTGCATAAAATATCTTTTTTTTTTTTGCTTTTTATTATTTTGTCACATTCATAAGGATTTAGGTTTTACAAACATCTAGTTCTGGGTTTTATCTTGAGTTTATCTTGGACTTTATTCAAATATATTTAGGTTTTTATCTCAGCATTTATCATCAAATGTAACAGAAAAATTCAGTTCTTCTCAATTCAAAATTTTTACATGACTTGCTTTTTGTCAGACCTTTAGTTCTGTGTTGACTTGATATGAAGCCTTGGCGCAAATTCAAACTGGAAGACTCTTTAGCCCCACCTGCAGCATTCAGTCGGTGCATCCCGCCAATCACAAACGACCAATCATTGTTGGAATCAAGTCACGTCATGGCCAATCACCGACCATGCCCCAGTTGATAAGGACGTCCATCCAAGGCGTCTTCTGTTTCGCTGCTGCGCTCAACCCACCTCCACTGTTCTGGCTCCCAGGCATACTTCATTCACCGACCTCCACCACCAGGATCGGGTCCCGGGGGATGACATTCCTGTCAGCATCGGGAATGCTCATCCGAGCTTATCGCAATCAGCTCGATGTCCTTAGCCGGGGCCCGAGCGCCAAAGACTTAATTTATGCATGTCAATAAACTTTTCTAATCGCTTTCTTTCTGTGTCTGAGTCTCTCCAGATTGAAGTGTCATTATGTTAATTATGTTAAATGTTTTGTTTCTGTTGGATAAAGTGGGATGTTATTAAGCAAATATTTGTTATTCTCATGTATCCTTAAAATGTATCTTTTCTTATATACTTTTATTGTTTAATTTCATCTTAGAATTAAGAATCTTTCTGTATTGTTGAATTACTCTGATTCCTTTCTCAAAAGGCCTC